AGTTCTTAACCAATGTCTGTAAAGTTTGTTGTTCAATATTCTGATAACTCTATTGTTATGTATTTTATTTTATATATTTTAAAATGAGCTTCCACAAAGGGGTCCATAGGCCCAATGGGTCCATGACACAGGAAGGGTTGAGATCTTTATCTGGTCTAAGCCTCTCATCTTCTAGATGCAGAAACCAAAGTCAGAATACATTTCTATGTGTATAGGAGCAGCCTTCTACTGCAATATGAAAAGCCAGAACATCTCCCTTCTCCTTCTTGGGAGAGCTCTCATTTCTATCAAGTCCAGAGAGCAGAGGGCAGAAGACTGAGGACCCCAACGATGTGCCTCCTCCAGAACAGGTCTTCGACTATTAGGCCACTGAGCACAGAGAGAATCAGCTGCCCTCATCTAGGATGAGAAGCCTTGGGTCTGAGGACAGAATCCAGAAGCTGGCACTCCAGGCAGCTAGCTATGCACCCCGATTCTGGGCAACAGGCTGCCCTCCTCCCTGGCTCTCCTGCCAATGGGGCAGAGATGGTTCCCAAATGGGAAATACTTGGATGAGAGCTGACCACTCATGGCCTGAGCCCAGGAGTGTGGTAGGCAAGCTGGGCATCAGGAATTCAGAGATGTAGGGCACTGGCTGGGCAAGGAGAATGGCTTTGGGGAGCCGTTCCAAGGAGCAGAGAGGGTGCCCTTGTCTCAGAGCAGACAGACTCCTCCAGGCAGAAGCACAGCAATTCAGATTTCCTGCTGACAGAAGAAGAAATGATAAATCCTGCTCCTTGGCAGCCTGCCATGGCAAACAGCTTCTCCATGAAATAAGTGAAACCCATCAGCCTCGGGGGTGATGCAAACAGAGCAGAGAGCTCAGCCCTCTGTAGGGATGGGTTATTAGACGGACAGCACCCTGCCATTTTCAGAGTGACCTGTCCCTGGAATAAATGAGCCGCTCAGGGTTAGGCTTGTCCTGATTCCAAAGGAAGAGGAGCTGTGCCATCGTCCATGGACTAGGGAGGCAGTGTGGTATAATGGAGAGCGGCCCGGCCCTGGAGTCCGAGAAGCCACTGACCCCTACTGTCTCTGTGACCTTGGCTGAACCCCAGCCCTCTGCCTTCTCTTACCCTGATGCTCTATGAGTCCTCATAAAGACAGCCAGCCAAACCAGGCCATTTGTGTTCAGTGATATAAGCAATGTATGTTATAGGAGGGAGAAAGCACCTCTGTCTTGGTCATCACAGACTGCACAGAGAAGGCAAAACTCAGACTAGGCCTTGAAGAATAAGCAGGATTAAAACAGAGGGAAGGAGGAGATCCCAAATGAAGGGCACAGCATGGCCAAAGGTGGAGGTGAGGGGTGGGGGGAGAGAGAGATGGGACAGGGGAGGAGAGAGGGAGAAGGGAGCGAGACAGATAGAAGGAAAGAGAAGGAGAGGGGGAGGCAGAAAGGAGGGAGAGAAGAGAGATATAGGGGGAAGAAAAAAGGAGAGAGGAAAGAAAGGGGGAGAGAGAGAGAGGAGAGGGAGACAGGGAAAGGAAAAAGGGAGGAGAGGGAGAGAGACAGAGGAGGAGAAAGGGGGAGACAGGAGGGAGATAAGAAATATAAAGAGAGGGGAAGAGGAGAGAGAGAGAGGGAGGGAGAAAAGGAGAGAGGAGAAAATTCAAGGGGGAGAGAGAGAGAGAGAGAACAAACTGGAAAAGTAGGTTAGGCCCATATTGAGGAGGGCCTTGATTGCCAGAAATTTTCATTTATTGGGAAGCCACTGACTTTTTCGAGGAGAGAAGTAACATGATCAATGTGGTATTTGTTGCTGATTAGTCTGGCAGCCAAAGTCAGCTGGGTTGGAGAGGGAGTGACTGGATCCTATCCTTTAGCATTAAGAGACTTTGCAAACATTCAAGGGCATATCAATGTTATTGTGATTGTCATTATGACTATGGACCGAGCACATCCACACCAATTCTGTGCCTTGGATGTGGGGTATTAGAGCTCAAAAGAACCAGAGAAATCGTCTTCTCTGAATCTCCCATTTGACCAAAGCCCAGAAAATTGAGGGTTCTACCCATCGAAGAGGATCGGGGTTGCCCATGACTCAGTTTCAGGGATCTTTCCATCACATCCCACATTACTAGGAGTGGAGGAAATTTTGGGAAGAGAAAGGAAGCAAAGGGGAACCTCAGGCCTGATGTTCTGTGCATTCTTTAAAAAATTGTGTTAATGTCTTTTATTTTTACTTCTTCCTTTTCATATCTCCCCAACTTGGCAAGATATCCCTTAAGGGGTGGGGGAAGAGTAAAAAATAAATTAAAAAAGGAAAGAGGGAGTAAAGCAGTTGAACAAAAGTAATGGACATGTCAGCTGAGTCTGAGCACATATGCAGTGTTCCCCACCCCCAGCCCCCCACCTCTGCACAGAAGAGAGCTCTATGTGTTCAGAGGCTCCAAGAGACCCTGCGGCATCAGAGAGGAGAAAGGGGCAGGGGAGGAGAATTGATTTGTTAAAGAACGAGCAATCACTTCAACCTTCCCTGGAACCCACTCACTCTTTTTCATTTCTTTAAATTAATATTTTTGCTTTCTTTGGCACTGTCAGCATTTTTTGAAGAAACAGACCCTGAGGCAGGAAAGGAGGCCAACCAGATTCTAATTCAGCTGGTAGGGGATTGGTCAGCTTCCTCTTGTGTGGCGCGTTTCTGACATATCTGCTATGGTTGGCGTCTTCTTTGGTGGCAGCCCCCTCTGAAACCTCTGACACAGTGGCCAGACCACACTGAACCTAGCCAAAGATGCTCTCTTTCTTTCCCACTTGAGTACCAGTAGAACAAGGCTGGATTTTTAGAAGGACTTTATGAGGGAGAGGGAGAGGGGGAAAGAGGGGGGGAGAGAGAGAGGAAAGGAGAGGAAGGGGGGAGAGAGAGGAGGAGGAAGAGGAGGAGGAGGAAAGAAAAAGTTTATCACTTACAGGAAATAAAATGAGGAGCTGGGTTTAAATTCTGCATTCGAACCCTGCTACCTGTGTGACCTTAAGCTTCAGGCCCTCATCTATAAAATGTGAGAGATTGGGTTCAACTACCTCTAAGGCCCCTTCCAGCTTTAAATCTGCGACCCTGTGACCTTTGGATTCATAGCCGCAGCGTCCCCAGTGGTGACCCTCCCAGCTCCAGTATTTAGCAAGCCCCCATGATAGGCCTTGTATTTATTTATTTATTTGCATGTCGTCTCCCCCATTAGATTGTAAGCTCCTCAAAGGCAGGGACTGTCGTCTCACCTCTCTTTGTATCCCCAGAGCGCAGCACACAGCAGGTGCTTAATATTTGCTGATTGATTGCCATCTGACTAGCCAACATCAGCATGCTTTGGTTACAAAACACGACACATTCCAGATCCTCTGCCTCCCAAACTCCTGGTATCTCTTTCTGGGGACAGCCAGTGCCCCCCCTCACTCTTCCGTCCACCTTTCAGAATCAGGACTTCTTGGGGCCACAGTTCTACCATATTGGGAGTCTGGGCCCTAGATTGATGGCATCGTGGGGAGCTTCCCCTTCAATCCAAGGGAGATGAGCAGGCTTACAATATTCCAAGGACAGTCAACGTCCAGGCCCACAGCAGTTTGTGTGCATCAGTCAGTCAATCCACAAACAGAAGTACCTACTATGTGCCAGGCACCTTGCTAAGCACTGGAGATACACTAACAAAAATGAAAACAGACTTCACTTTAAGGAGCTTATCTTCCCAGGGGGATATAATGTGTGAATGCATAGGCATATACAAAGTTGGTACTAGTAGCTTGGGTGACGTGATTAGGGCCAGGGAAGGAGCAGAAATTAGGAGCAGCTTTATGCAGAAGGTGGCACTTGAAAACAGTCTAGAAGGAAACCAGAGATTCTGAGAGGATGTGAGTAGGAGCATGGCAAGCACAGGGTCAGCCAGGGATGGAGGCAGAGGGGCAGGGTGCCCGGAGCATCCCCACCAACAGTAAAGGAAGGATCATTTCTGTACAGCTTAGCTCCAGGAGGACAGAGGGGATAAGTGAAGGCTGAAGAGCCCAGGGGAGGGTCTGTGTGAAGAGGACTGCACGGTGGGTCTGAACGTTGATTCATTGACCCTCCTCTATGGGCACACAGTGGTCAGGCTGTTTAAAGGGAGTCTCAGAGTAAAGAGGCCTGGGCACTTGGAGAAGACCAGCTGATATAAGGCTTCCATTTGCAAAGACTGTGGGAGTGAGCACCCAGCAGGCTGGAGTTCAGTGGGACTGGTGGGTGTGGCCAGGCAACATGGCGGCGGTAGTTTGGGAGACCCCGGGGTGGGGTTCTTGATTGTGTGTGTCCTGTTGCTCTCCCCTTTTTGTGGGAGCAAGGGTCAGGAGAGGACTTTGCTTCTTAGCCTACATTGGCTAACTGGAAAACGGTCTGATATCTCTTCCCGAGTGTGGGGACTCTAGCTATTCTGTTGTGGGTTACACCTGGAGGCCACAAGGAAAGGGGGAACCGGGGCCTGGAGAAGCTGCCTTCTGGATGGCGTGGCATCCATGTGGCAGTCTCGTGGCCCTGCCATGATGTCAGAAGATATCCAACAGCCTGACTGTTGTCACCTGGCAATTACTGACCCTGGCCTAGGTGCGTAACTCAGCATCTACAGTTCTCATCTTCCTCTTCCCTTACCCCAGCCCCTGTGTTCAGTCACATGGGACTAGAGGAAAGAGGGCTGGTTGCAGAGTCAGAGGGCCCAGGTTCAAACAGGCCTCCGATTCTTTAAACCTCCCTGGCCCTCAGTTTCCTCTTCTGTAAAATGGGGGGATCGGTCTAGTTGGCCTGTGAGAACCTTTCTAGCACCATCTCTGATCTTATGACCTGTGGTTACCGAGTGGCCTGGGGATGGGGGTGTCTGGTGTGGACTCCATGAATCAGATGTGGACTCAGGGGGTCTGTCAAGGCCTTGGTGGGTTGAGGCGGAGCTGGGTTTGGGCCCCTGCTCCCTCCTGACCCCTCTTCCCTCTCTTTCCCCTGAAGGTCATTTCCAGGACTTGCTGAACAAGTCAGAGCGGGCTCTCCAGGACACGTTCCCTGGCGTCCACGGGGACTTGTACACCCAGAACTCGCGGCTATTCAGGGATCTGTACTCCGAGCTCCGCCGCTATTACCGGGGGTCCAACATCAACCTGGAAGAGGCGCTGGCCGAATTCTGGGCACGCCTGCTGGAGCGGCTCTTCAAACAGCTGCACCCCCAGTACGTGCTTCCAGACGAGTACCTGGACTGCATGGGCAAGCAGGCAGAAGCCTACAAGCCCTTTGGCGAGGCGCCCAGGGAGCTCAAGCTGCGGGCCACCAGGGCCTTCGTGGCGGTGCGCTCCTTCGTGCAGGGCCTGGGCGTGGCCATCGATGTGGTCAGGAAGGTGTCCCAGGTGAGTGCTGAACGCGGTGCCAAACCCGGGTCCTACACCCCATCTGTTTAAAAAAAAAAAAAAGCCCTGTACACACCAGTGAAGCAGCAGGCATTTATTAAGCTCCTCGTGTGTGCCAGACACACGGCCTGAAGTGTGAGCTTCCATTCATCAATGTCTATCCTCAGTGCAACATCGAGAATACAGAAGCAGGCACCGCCTCTGCAGCTGGGCCTTGAATGGCAGGCAGCGTCACCAGAGCTGTCCTTGCTGGGGAGCCCAGAATCCTCTAACCCCAATGAGGCACCCAAGGAATCCACCACAATCATCCTGTTAGTCTCATGAGGGCGGCATGGGGGTGTGGAGAGAGAGTTGGCCATCAAGACCTGGGTTCCAGTCTTGCCTCTGACCCATCTTGGCTGTGGGGCTCTGGGCCAGTCCCTGACCCTCCCAGCATGCCACACAATTCCCTGAGGAGGCATCTTCACGAGGCACCTTAGAAGTTACTGAATCCAAATAACCCCCATTTTTACAGATAGGGAGTGTGCAGACAGTGTAGACAGAGGGTCAGAAAGCCCTGGGTCCAAGTGCTGCCTCTGTGACCCCAGCTGGGTATCAGGAGCCCAGACAAGGGAGTTTACTATATGAATGTGATCCCAGATGGGGTAACAAAGAGAAGAATGTGCACATGGCCAATCTAGAAAAAGAAGGCAGAGAAGAGCCAGGCCCAGGGGAGAGTGTGAAGCCTGGTGAGAGCTGGTCACTGTGTCAATGGGGGACGGCTCCCAACGGGTAACTCAGAACCAGAGATTTGGAGCGGGCAGGAACCTCAGCAGTCACCTCTCCCTCCTTTTATAGATAAGGAAACTGAGGCCCAGAGAAAGAAGGGCAAATGAATCATAGCATCATAGATCTGGAACCAGATGGGCCCTCAGAGGTCAGACCTAACCCAAATCCTCCTTACAGATGAGGAAACTGAGGACTGTCTTTTTATCATCCCAATGGAATCTAAGCTCATTGAGGACAGGACCCATTTCATTTTTGTCTTTGAATCTCCTGTGCCTAACACAGGTGCTTACAAAATCTTTGCTTCATTATCACTGGCGGTGGAAAGGCTCATTATCTGTCCTGGGATTTGTAGGGCTTCTCAGAAAGGCCAGTCGGTGTGGGCTGCCAGCCCCCTTAGACGCAGAAGAAATGGCAGAGACGATTTCACCTGTGTGCTAACCCTCTGTTTCGCCATGAAGGGAGGAGGCCAGGCGAGGATGGGTGTACGTCCCCACGTCCCTGGCTGAGCAGCTTGGACGACAGTGATCTAGGAGGCCCCCTGTTCCTCCTCCCTCCAGCACCTATTGTGACATGAATCCTTAAGCGGCACCATGGTTGGCATCCCATACCTAGAGCAGCTGTGCTCCCTGCCCAGGTCTCCTGGAACTAGCCACGGGCACCTGGCCCAGCCCCGACAGGCCCATCTGGAGGCTGGCCAGAGGGAGTGGGAGAGGGAAGCAGAGACCCGGAGCAAGCAGGAACTCCAGCTTGTCTGGCCCTGTTACATGCCTGCCCCTGGGCCCTCACCTGAATCCTCCCACCCAACACACTCCTCTTCTCTCCAGCGTCTGATAGCGGGATACCACTCCTTGATTCATGCATAGTCAGGTCTGCTGGGTGATGGTGACCGTGCCCTTCTGCTTGCAGGTCCCCCTGGGCCAGGAGTGCTCTCGGGCCATCATGAAGTTGCTCTACTGCTCCCACTGCCTGGGCGTCCAGAGCCCCCAGCCGTGTTCTGGCTATTGCCGAAATGTGATGAAAGGCTGCCTGGCCAACCAGGCTGATCTGGACACAGAATGGAGGAACCTGCTGGGTGAGACGGCTTGTTCTAGCCCTAATCATCCCCTCCAGGCCCTCCACCCTGCTCTCCCCCCATCTCACCTCTTACCCTGGCATGAGACCACATCGTACTCCCCAGATTCCATCGTCCCTGCTGCCCTGGCCCCTGGAGTCCCTTCCACTGGACCTTCACTACCCAGCACCGTCTCATTCTACCCCATTATTCCAGGCTGCCTTTTATGCGTATAGAGGAAATGAGACCGAGCTGGGCTGTGTCCTAGATCACAAGGATAAGGGGTTCCTAGAGCCCTGTTTGGAAAAACCTTCCCTGATATCTCCCCCGCCCCCAACCAATCTGAGTTTCTGCAGAAATAGTGTGGGACCACATCATCCATCCAAGTTCCATTGATCTTCTTCCTTGGAAAACTGGCATTTCTTTGAGCCCTCTTAGAGCGGAGACCATGGGTCCTCCCTCTCCTGCCCATTCCCCCGACAGAGTATCACTGAGGATAGGACCAGGCCCATATCTGGCATTGACAGTATGTGTGCTGAGTACAGATTAAGGGGGTGATGTTTACTTAGGAGAGCAAGAAATGGGGGACAGCAAGGCAGGCTTCAACTGGCCTGGGTCTGGCTTTTTTTTTTTTTTGTCCCATTCATTTGAGACCTCCAGCACCCCCTTCCAGGCTCTAGTCTCTGATTCACCCAGAGGATCCTCTTCTCTAGCCTGTTCTTTGGGGCCGCGGGGAGATGCCGCCATCTTGGGAGGAAGGTCCAAAGCCCATTGTGGCCCCACGCCTACTGAAGAGCTGTGTTTGTCCCCTGCCAAGTCACAAGACAGAGAGCCTGTGGGGTGTGTCTCCCCCTTTCACAATCTCATGAAGCTTAGGGTCTCCTCAGAATAAGGTTTTTAAAGACTTCAAATATACAGGATTACAAAGGAAACCAAAGGTGGGTGAAAATAAAGATGTCCTTTGTTTCCCATCCAAGTTCACAGGTGCCCCTGGGTTAAAACCCCTGTCCTCATTGGTTCATTTTCTCATGCCCTAAGAGAGCGTGTATGGATCCTGGCAGAGCATAAGCTCCCCCACTGACACCTCCGATGTGTTCCCCCACAGACTCCATGCTGCTTGTGGCCGACAAGTTCGATGGCCAGACGAGCGTGGATAGTACAATTGGGACAATCCACGTTCGGATCTCAGAAGCCATCACCGCCCTCCAGGACAACAAGGACACACTCACAGCCAAGGTGGGGATGCCTGCCCATGGAGGGATCAGAAGGGAAGGGGACAGGGAAAGGTTAGTCCGGGTTCAGGCCCCACCAGGCAAACACCCACACAGATGTACATTGAAGGTTCAAAGGACAAAGATGGTGCTCGGCATGGCCATGCCTCCTTCCACAGCACTCCATACACAGACGATCAGAAAAACACAATTTCCTTTCTCCACCATGGGCCACAAGAGGCAGGGTGATTATACACCCTTGGGAGGTCTCAGTCCCCCCCAAGGCAGCCCCCTTACCGCTCTCAATGGTCAGAACGGACTGATCGGCATTGTCAGAGGGAGTTCACCAGGCACGTTTAATACCAACATCATAGGTCTGATAACCCCAGAATTTCTGATGGGTGCCTGGAGAGAACGTTTCCACACTGGGAGTTCTCACTACCCCATAAAGTCCCCACTCTGGACCATGCACACACCTCTACTGGTGTAAGGCAGGATGTGCAGAGGAAAAGCAGAGGTGCTACCTCCAGGAATCACTCCCCAGAGCCTCAATTTCCTCATCTGTTAAGGTGGGACTAGATGATCTCAGAGGCCCTTTCAAAGCCAAGTCCAGAATGCCCTCCCTCACTTGTCTCCCCTCAGAGAGCCTAGAAGAGAGTTGGGCAATTACATCAAAAGAGAGGCAGCAATAGAGTGGGGGAAGGAGTAGCGGGGACCAAGATGCCGTGGGACATCTCCTCACATCCTTGGGGGGCTTTCTCTAGGTTTTTCAAGGCTGTGGAAATCCCAGAGTGAGCAGCAAGGGCCCCGGCGGAGAAGAAAAGAGACGGCGAGGGAAGCCTGTCACAGAGGAGAGGCCCTCGGGGATTGGGCTGGAGAAACTGGTAAGTACCTCCCCTGAGTGCTGGGCCACATGGGCAGCCCCATCAGGGACCTGACCTTGGACATGCTGGGTGATCCAACAAAGGAAGATGGCGGCACTTCCAGCCATCACTCAAAGCTCACCTCCAACAATGATAACATAGAGATAATCAGAGCGAACATTTACAAAATGCTTTTGAGATCTGCAAAAACACTTTTACATAGATTATCTTATTTGATCCTCACAACCATCCTGGGAAGAAGGGACCATTATCATCCCCATTTTACAGATGAAAAAATTGAGACAGATAGAGGTTACAATCCACAATCCTAGGTCATAGATTTAGAAACATTCCAAAAGCAAGGACTAGATCCTAGGGTTGGAAGGTCCTAAGAGGTTATGAGTCTAACACTGTCATTTTACAGATGAGGAAACTGAGGCCCAGAGGGGTAAAGAGACTTCTCCTATCACTTAGCTAATCAATGTCTAAGGTGGGATTTGAATCTAGGTCTTCCTGACTCCAGCCCTTTATCCACTATAATACGCAGCCTTCTTCACTATAGCTAAATAGGTACTTGACTGACCCTAGGCAAGTCACTTAACCACTGCCTCAGTTTTCTCATCTGTGGAATGGGGATAATAATAGCACCTACCTCCCAGGGTTGTTCTGAGGTTCAAATGAGTTAATATTTTTGGAGAAGCTCAGTACAGTTCCTGGCACATAGTAGGTGCTTAATAAATGCTTATTTCCTTTCTGCCTTCCTTCTTACTTGCAATCAAGCATTTACTAAGCACCCACTGTGGGCCACTATTGCTTTCTGGGTACTTCTTGGGCAAGATCAGGCCCCAGGCTGAGAAATTCATTCTCTCCGTACTTGATCCCACCCCACTGTTCAGACTGCCCCTTGGGCCTCATACTGTCTCTCCTACACCTCTCCTTAGGTCTCAGAAGCCAAAGCCCAGCTCCGGGATGTCCGAGACTTCTGGGTCAGTCTCCCTGGAGTCCTGTGCACAGAGAAGGTGGCCATGAGCTCAACCATCGACGAACGCTGCTGGAATGGGATGACCAAAGGGCGGTGAGGGGCAGACCTCCCCTCCCCCTTCCTGGCCCACGGACCCTTCTTCCCCCACCCAAAACACCCTTAGCTATACAGACTGCAACTCCCCTGACGTTCCCAGGGTCTGCTCCCTGCCCTTTCACCCCATCACTTTCTTTTTTCCTCTGTTTTGGTGAGGCAGTAAGGGTTAAGTGACTTGCCCAGGGTCACACAGTTAGTAAGTGTCAAGTGTCTGAGGCTGGATTTTAACTCGGGTCCTCCTGACTCCAGGGCCACTACCCTATCCACTGTGCCACCTAGCTGCCCCCCACCCCACTTCATATTCTTTCTTCTTCTCTCCTCTATATCATCCATGTCCTACATCTAATATCCAAACCCTGGGTTGGGATAAAGCAGGGAGAATGGAAGGAGAATAGCCCATTCCTTCCCTTTTTTTGTTAGCATTTTTTACTAATCTTTCCTCCCACCCCTCTCACCTCATTGAGCAAACAAAAAGAAAAGAAAAGAAATCACTCAGTACACACTAACAAAGCCCAGAGCAAATTCCCACATCTGAATACGTCGGTCTTTTTCTGCATGTTACATTCAGCCCTCTGTCCGTCAGGAGGTGAGGGACATTTTTCCTCTGCATTCCTCTGGCCCCCGGCTTATCTCTGCAGCGATTGGGGTCCAAAAGTCTTTCCAAGTCGTTTCTCTCTCTGAGGTCTTTACATCCACTGTTTTCCCAGCTTTGCTCCGCATCGATTCATCGACGCCTCCCTGGTGAAATTGTCTAATGCCATCATTTCTCTCAGCACAATATTCCTACATTCATGTATCACCAATTTGGCTAGTTTTTGCCTACCACAAAGAGAGCTGTTGTGACTATATTTTGTACGTCTATCTGGTATATCTAGGTCAAAGGGTATGTGCATAACCCCTTTTTGAGGCCTGAATCCCATCCTATAGCCTTTAGCTGCATAATCATAGATTTTCTGGAGCACTCAGTTTAGGGTCAGATGACTGCCACTGAAATCCTGGACTTTGGGCAGGCCACTCGTGGCCTGTTTCCTCATTTATACAATGATCCAACTGGACAGAGTGGTTTCTAAGCCCCCTTCTGGCTCTAAATCGAGGAGGTAGTGGTACTATTGACTCTCTGGGTGACCTCTGGGCCCAGTTTTCCCCATCTGTAAGGTCAAGGTGTTAGATGGAGAGGCGGCTATGCATCAGCACAGAGGAGGCTGCCCTTGCTCCCAGATGACCTGAGTTTGAATCCCTATTCTCCTATGGCCATGAGACCTTGGACAAGTCACTTAACTAAAGCTCTGGGCTTCAGAGCCCCCTCCCAGCTGTCGAGAGTCACGAAAGGTCCTCCCCCCTCTCTTGTCTCACTGCACACACAGGGAGGATCCCTCTGGTGACTTCCCTTTCAGGAAGACAGGGTTCAGACGTGACCGTACTTCACCACCTCAGTGCCCACTGAAGAACGTGATGCTAGGCACGAGAAAGAGATGATCCAGCCAGGGGTACAGCGAAAAACCAGTCAAGTTTACATTCTCATGGGGGAGACACCGCGTACAGAGAGATACAGAGTAGATGGAGGGTAGCTGTAGAAAGAAAGGCATTTGTAGCTGGGGGGACCAGGGGAACACGTAACCAAATGTGTCAGGCGAATAATAATACTTTGCAAACCTTAAAATGCGATATAAATGCTAAGAGCATTGCATATATTTAATTTGATCCTCATAATGGCCCTTTAAGGTAGATGCTATTATCATCATCCCCACTTTACAGATGAGGAAACTGAGGCCAAAAGTCCCTGTCCAAGGTGATTCAGCTAATAAATGAATGAGGCAGGATTGGAACTCAGTTCTTCGGGACTTGAGGTCCTACCCTCGATCCACAGTACCAGCAAGCTACAGCACAGGATGATGGCTGGAGAATGAAATGGGGCAAAGGGCAAACTCAAAACCGGCGTAAAGAGATGGGGTGTGTGTCCCCTCTCCTCCACAGGTACCTCCCCGAGGTGATGGGCGATGGCCTCGCCAGTCAGATCAACAATCCCGAGGTGGAGGTAGACATCACCAAGCCCGACATGACCATCCGGCAACAGATCATGCAGCTCAAGATCATGACCAACCGCTTACGCAATGCCTACAATGGCAACGACATCGACTTCCAGGACACCAGTGAGTCAGAGGTCGGGGCTCGGGAGGGAGGGGGGAGAAGGTGGGGACCCAGGTCTGAGGACCTGAGGGGATGTCGGCCTTTCTCACCCTTCACCCGGAGAGGGTTAGTGCTGAGCAAGCCTTGACACGGTGCGACCCGAGGTGGGGGGCGAGTGTCCGCTGTCAGAGGGACCAACACCAGGGACGGTGGCAGAGTCGGCCTGGGGTCTGCTGTGGGAGGAGTCACTACAACTGGGGTGGGGGTAGAGTGTCAGCTGAAAGAAACCCGAGAGGTCACTGGGTCCAGCCCCCTCATTTTATGGGGGTCACACTAGTGAGTGTCCAAGGTGGGGTTGCCTCTAACCTTGACCCTGCTGACTCCCAAACTAGCACTGATGTCCAGAGGGAAAAGGGCTCAGGGCTCCTGCCCTCCTCACTCCTCTGACCCCTTTTACAGGCGATGACATCAGCGGCTCAGGGAGCGGCGACGGCTGTCTGGATGAGGTCTGTGGGAAAAGACTGAGCAAAAGTCAGAGCACGAGGCAGCCGGAGACCCATGCCATCCCCAAGCAGTCAGAGCATGATGGGAGTGGTGCCCCAGGCTGCACCCGGCCTTCCTCCCTCCTCCTCCTCCTCCTCACCCTAGCCCTTGCCGCAGCATGGTCCCTAGGGCGATAACCGCCCTGCCAGCAAAAGGGACTATGGCCGAGGCCGGCCTTTGCCAAAACGGACGGACGATATTTGATTCATCTCGGCAGATGGCAAAAACGCACGCGAGCTCAAGGGGAAGGTCGGTGACTGAGAGTGACCGTGGCCCCGGACCCAGGCAGGAGCCTTCAGCCGCTCTGACTCGAGGGCCAATGGCCATACCTGGTTGTTTGTTTGTTTTGGTTTTTCTGTTTTTTAATTTCATTCTTTTCCCGGGGGGCTTCACGAGGCTCTCTGGTTGATGGGAAGGTGACGCTTCCCCCAAAGGATCTGCAGTTGGAAGATGGGAGAGCAGCAGCAGTGATGCTGTGTAACACATTAATGTCCCCAGTGTCCAGCAGTAGAGGGAGGCCAGTCATGGGGGAGACAAGTAGAAGGCTGAGTCTGAAAGGTCACTGCCCCTCGAGAAAGACAAGTGCCCGTGCCTTCCCTCCCTCCAGCATCCCTGCAAGCAGCCTCTCCCCGAATGGGGAACCAATTCACAAGCTTATCCCGAGTCCGGGCCTCGATGCAAAATCCTGCCTTCAAGATCTCAAGGAAATAAGTCTTTCTCCTTAGTCTAAAAAAAAATTAGTTTTTAAAGCAGTTGATGATCCCCTGCCCTTGAGGTGCCCAGTAGTGGGAATTTTATGTTGTGCATGAGATTCCAAAATTTACCCAAGATCTCAATCAACACTAATCTATGACTACACTTCCATGACGTATGACATTCAAACAAAAACATGCGGCTGCTGAGTAATTGGAACCCCTCACTTTTGGGTTTTTTAAACTGGCACCAATGCCCTTTTCTCAACGAATCTGACTGTCAAAGGCTTTATTTACAACTCATGGTTCTTTGTGATGTTGTCATATAGTCCAATGGGTCCAGGGGGAGCTAGAGAAAATGGCGCCATGACTGTATTTGGGGGCTATTCTTTTTTCATTGCCTGACCCAGAAGAGAGCAGCTCGTCTGCCTGGCTTCCTGGGAGTGCTAGGTGCCCCATTCTCCATCTCATAGCTGAGATCACTGAGGCACAAATGGGGCCGAAGCCTTTCCTCGGATCCCACACTGGGTCAGCTGCTCTTAACCACCCCGAGAAGACAGCTGGCCTTCCAGGCCACACCAAAGCATCCTCTCCGAGTTATCATTTTGGTTTTACTTCGTCCTATTGTTCTGATACTCCGTGACTTCTTACTTGTCAGGTGGGAACTCAGATTTTGAGTTTTCCTTTTATTATTTTTGTTTAAACATACTTAGAGAGAAAGATATCTATTTACCACCGGCAGAACCTTGTCCTTCATAGGGCTCCGGGGCGGTCATTGGAATCCCCAGGTCAGCAAGTCCTACCCTGTAAGTGTGACAGAGCCCCACAACACCCATCCAGTGAAATTATGATGGACTTGTATTATGTTACTCATTGGTCTGATATTGTGAGGATTTTTTCTTTTTTTTTTTTTTCTCTGGTGGAGAGGTTGGGGCAGGAAGGTAGAACCAAAATGCTAGCTATTACATTTAAGGGTTTTTATAGGCTTGCATAAACTTTTCAATACTCCAAGTCCCATTTCCATTGTTAAGAACATTTTCTTGGAATTATTTTTCAAAGAACTTTCTTTTCAAGGAAGACATAATAGAGAGAGAGAAAGAGCTGACCTGGGAGTCAGAAAAATGTGGGTTCAAGTTCCACCTATGATTCCTCAGCCAACCGTCAATAAATAAGCATTTCTTAAGCGCCTATTCTGGGCCAGGCACTGTGCTAAATACTGGCATTCTTCTAAACTTCGTGGCCTTGGGTAGTAACCACACCATGCCTGGGCAGTTCTAGAAACTGAGAAGAGATCAGTGCATTCCCCACACTAATGAAATCACAGGCCCAGCCCACTCATTTTCCCCCAGCCTCTAAAAAAGAGGGTGTAGTCTACAGTCTCTCCTGAATAATTAAGCCTTACAAAGTCTGATGAGTTTAATGGCTATTCTGAGTCAGGGCCCCTTTAGACCATGAACTTTTGAGAAGTCACAGTGTTACCAAGCAACATTACAAGCATCCATTGCTGCAGAGGAGAGGACTTTGTGAGTGGGATGCCTCATGGAGTCCTCCTTCAAGCACAAGCAGAGAGCTGCCCATTGGATCCCTAATGCTGCATTCTCATTGGTGCTATCTGTCATCCTTCCCCATTCACAAGGCTCTAGGCCCTCAAGCGATTGTGTTTTCCCATTCAGGCCCCACAAGGCAGCCATTCTTCCCACGGACTATGTTTACTACCCACCCGCCATTTTGGTGCGGTGTTATCCTGGCCTTTTCATTCCTTTAAAAAAAGGACCTTGCCCTGAGCGGGATCAGGACCCAGATGCCTGAGGCAGAATGGTCCCTTCCACCTACCTTGGGATAGCATTTATCTTTCCCACTACTCTGGGGAAAATAAATCCGACTGCCTACTCAAGGGTCTTTAAATAGGATCCACTGTTACTGATAAATGGGAAAGTGGTTATAAACTCATAAACTTTGAGAACTGGGAGACTTCCAGCCCATCCAGGACAAGAACCTTCAGGCAGTCTCCTGGAGGGTCACATGATCAATCTTAATTTAGTGACCATTAGTTATTGGTATTAACATGCTAGCTATCAGAACAGCTAGTAGTTAGAGCACTAGAAATTCAATGGGTCATAAAACAGATTTGTAGCTGGAAGGGAGGGACCTCATCTTGACCCATCCTTTCATTTGAAAGTTGAGTAAAACTGAGGTCCAGGGAGATAAAGTGATTAAGGTCACACAGGTGGCACATGACAGAGACTGGATTTTTAGCTAAAAAATATTTTTGCTCAAAGGTTCAGGTTGGCTGTACCTGGCCTGTGGGTCACAGTTGAATAGCTGGGACCTGATCTCTTCATTGGACAGAGGGGAAAATGGGATCTCTCCCACAACACAGGCTGACCTTGACGGTCTCAGGACTCACATCCACCAGGCTTGCCTGATACCGTCAGCAGGTTGGTGATGCCTCAAGTCCCCAGACCTTCCATCCAGGACAATCCTCACGGCCTCCACTCCACGGGGAACAAGTTAAAATCCCTAAAGTGCTGCCTATCATTGCCTTTTCCACAATTCCATTTCACGTTGCTGTCATGCTAAAAAATTAAAATAGCATCACCCAAACACATGGGGAGGTCAGAGAGTGGCAAAACAGGGAGATATCTCCACGGTCATCCAGACAACATCCCAGATCAATGGTCTCCATATGCAGACTTCCCATCCCCTCTGGGAAAGTCCCTCCCCTCCCAGAAGATTCCCTTCCTTCTATCTGGAACCTGTGACATGCTATGGTTCTGACCTAAGAAAATCTCATTACCCAACTAGAGCTGGTTTTGGTCATGCAAAAACCAGGGCCCCATATGTGAATAAATGGACTGCCTTCAGGCCGGTCTCTCCCAAAGCAAAAAATTAGATTACTGCTCTGTTAAGGCTGCAGCCCACCCTGAGGAGGTAAACCACAGATCCCAACAAAGTGTGTTTCATGATTCTGGCCTTTGTTAGGTGAGGCTCAAGAGATGGGAAGGAGTTTGGAGGCCATCTAGTCCAATGTCATTTTACAGATGAGGAAACTGAGTCTTAGGCCTCGCCCAAAGTCACATGAAGAGTAAACATCAGAGAGGGGGATTTCAACCCAGGTCTTCTGACTCCAGGGTCAGCATCCAGTCAGTAGATCCAGTTTTTATGCTCAGTCATTAAAATCACTCAACAAGCATTCATTAGGCACAGGTATGCCAGGTAGTGACAACAGGCATTTTACTGTATTCCTTTTCCCACGCAAGCAGCCTAGCCCATGACAGTCTCTCATGAGGGGACAACACAGGAGAGATAGAAATGCAGTATCTATCCTTCCACAGTCCACAACATAATTTGGGAAAAATATATCCAAGAAGAGGTATGTCCCGAAAGTCTTATCAGTTTTAAGCTTTAATAATCATTACAGCTTAAAACTGAACTAAAACTTTTGGGACACTATCTATTTCCACCCAGTGGGTTGAGTTGCACATGGTCACAGGCCTTTGGGATCAGACAAAAAACATAAAACTCTTGCCCTTAAGTTAAAGTGCTAACTGTTAACACTTGAGCAAAGGAGACCATTGGGGAGAGAAGTTCATTGTGACGTAAAATAAAGTAAAATAAATTAAATTTAAACTTCCATCCCAGAAAATGGAAAGTCAGGTGCCACTGAGTTCATTTTGACCACTGCTCAAAGCCCCAATTTCTACATGTCACATTTGGGATGAAGGGGTTGGGAGGGGTCAGAAGAGGCTTTGAGGGCACGGTTGCTTACTATTTACAAGTCACATAACAAACCTTTTGTTTTCTGGTGGGCTTACTAAGGGATAAGGACAGTTCAATAAAAACGTGTTAAAAGCCTCCAAATTATTCCTTTGCTTTTAAAAAAGAACGCATCTCTCTCTCTGCAAAATGAAGATTTACTTCACTCACTGGCAAGGCTGACCCATTAGTTATAGATGTCTTTCTGTTGCCACGGTACCTGTAACTATCTTGCACTGTTTACTGGAAGGTGGAATATGTTCTTTGAATCCCCGTATAAATAAAAAGGCTGGAGACTTACTGGACCCCGGTACCGCAACCTCTCACCAGAGTTTCCAAAGCCTTGTTTTGTGTTTGCCCAATCGTGTGACGACACTGAGGCCATGACCTCATTGTTCCTGCTTCCGAGTTAAACCTGGAAATATCACTTGTGATGATTCCCGTGTACTCAGTCCATGCTCTGAATGGACGAATCCCTGCTGTCCAGGAGCTTACTTTCTAATTGGGGGAGACAGCACACAAAGGAAGATTCAGCTGCAAGGCAGATGGGAGGAGGGGGTCCGAGATGGACAGAGCACAGGCTGGTATCTCAGAACCTGAGCTGTGTGCTCATACAGGGCATTCAAAAGTGGTGACATGACCTTAAACTGGATAGAGCCATGATCAATCACCCAGTAATCAAATGAGCACTTCTTAAGCCCTACAAAGGGGCAGGGAAGTGGTGGCAGGGGGAGGGTTTACAAAGGCAAAGAATGAATCCCTATTCACAAGGAGTTTACATTATAATTGATAAGAATAAATCATAAAATGGTCATGAATACCCTTCATGGGGTTTTGGCACCATCTAGTTCAAGCACCAAAGCTAAAACACAATCACTGTTGCATCATCAAAGCTCATTTTCCAAATCACCCTGGCCCTCTATTCTTAGGATCATACATCTAAAGCTGGAAGGGGCATTAGGAGTCATCTAACCCAACCCTTCCATTTTACAGAAAAGGAAACTGAGGTCACAGCAAGTTAAGAGATTAGCCCAAGGTCACACAGGTGGTCCTAATTTTCAAACACACTGTCCCATTTACAAAAAAAAAAAAAAAAATGAAACAACAACAATCTACTTCAGATTATATGCCGTGGAACGGAGGACCAGAGAGTGACTTGCCCAAGGTCACCTGACATTAAGCATCAGGTAGGATTTGAACCCGGATCCTCTGCCTCTCCAGTTGGTAATCTTCTTTCCATTACACCAGGTCACCTCCCATCCACGCCAGCACATACGACCCTGGGCTTATCACCCAACCTCCTCATCTTCTTGAACAAGTCAGCAATAGTTATGGCATTTATTTCTGTTAAGGCTACACTAGGAATAATGCCACACAAAAGCACGCCAAGACTTACTAAGTAGGGTTTCTTTGTCAACACAGATGCTTAGACGTAATTATGTTGAAAGGGTGGTGCAGTCAGGAGAAATATCTCCCATTCTCTGTCATGAAAATGGAGACATCCTTTCTGGAAGCCAGGCTGAATACAATTAACAAATCTGAATGATAATGGTGGTTGTTAGCAGCCCTGAGAAGTGGGATGCCAAGAGAAATATAAAAGTCCTCTGATCCTTCTCCAGCTCCCTCCTCTCTCTGCCCCCCCCCACAAAAAAAAAAACCAAGGTGGGCAGGGAGGATTGTGTCTTTAGGACAAGTGGAGGATGAGGGAGACAGCAGAGCTTCAGGAGATGGACGCCAGGGCAAGGGGACCACGGGGATGAGGCGGAGCACATCAACTCGATTTTCTCGTTTTCTCAGTCGACAAGAATCATCTTCAGAATGGGAAGGATGGAGCCAAAATGGTTAACAGGGAACCAAGAAACCCACCAGGGAGAGGATGCCGGAGTGCCCCAGGCAGACCTCAAACAAGCCCAGTCACCTCGTCCTGACAAATCCATCCCAGGGTATCGAGAGAATGGGGCGGCTACAGCTCCCCGAGCTGCCGTCAGGCAGGGATGACAGACACTGGCAGAAAGGCCCGGGGACTGGAGACAGGCGTGCGGGCCGACCGTCAGGAGGGCAGGATAAACGTGCAGGTCACACAGGCGACGGGCTGGTGAGCTCGACACCAATCTCCGGCAAAATCCTAGAGCATCTTGTTACAGGAGCGGCTTGTAATCACCGACCCATGCCCACAGGGGTTCACCAAGAGCCAATCATTCCAGATTTCTATCCTTTCCACCTTTTTCCCTACAAGTTTACCCCCCCCTCCACCTCCCAGATAAGACCCCCCGCAGCTCACTATATCAATAGATAGAACTGCTACAAGTTAGCAAAATGTAGGCTTTTAAAAAAAATACCTAAAGTCATGCTATCTAGTTAGGTGTGAATCAGTTATTCATTTGATCCCCCTGGGCCTCAGTTTCCTCATCGGTAAAATAGGAATATTAGACCATACAGCCTCCGAATTCCTTTCTTGTTCTATGATCCTTCAACCAGTCTTTCTCTAGCCTGATCCTCCCCCTCCTCTGGCCCTGCTCCAAGTTGTCAATGCCCTTCTTAAACCATGGTGCCCAGCCCCAGGCAGGATACCGGAGTCCCTTCTTCTGAAGGGAAATGACTGACTGTTGAATAACTAATCACATGCAGAAGGTGGTGATTAAGGAATCAACGTCAATTTGGAGGGTTTGTCTCTAATGCAGGGCCCCAGGGGCTCTGTCCTTAGCTTGGTTCTAGTCAACATTTGTTATCAGTGACTTGGATAAAGACATAGACAGCCCAGTTATTCAATCAGGTAACACCTAGCTAGGAGGGATGGCAGAAACAACAGGTGAAAAGCTGAATATTCTGAATTAACTGGACTATACTAAACAGGGTGAGATTTAACAGAGGTAACTTGTAAAATCCTGCATCCAAGCTCAGAAACCAGCTGCACAAATGGAGGTCAGTAGCAACGTTTTTGGAAAGTGGTTCAATGGCGGTGGCGGAGCCTTGGGCTTTGGACAACAGGCTCCATGAGTGTTAACGTGATCGTAGACTGCACTAACACAAAACCAGATGGGTGCAATGCCGGTGTCCACAAGAAGGAAAATGATGGGCTTGCCGCATTCAGCCCTGGTCAGACCCCAACTTAAGTATCACACCCAGTGATGGGCATCACATTTTAGGGAGACCATTGGAAACTTAGAACAGGTCCAAAGGAGGGGGACCACATGAGGGAGGGCACTGAAAATCCTACGATACCAAGACTGGTGGAAGGATCTAGACCTCAGCAATCATCTAGTCCAATATCCCCATTTTACAGATGAGGAGACGGAATCTTAAGGAGAGCAAGTAGATAGCTAATAAGTGTCAGAGTTAAGCTTTGACTCCAAAGCCATTGCTCTTTCCAGGGTGGTATTCCTAGGGCTTCTTGACCCCAGGTGAAGGGTCAGAGAAGAAACAACAACATTCTGACATAACCACAATCCTGAACGCCGTAACTCAGAGGCTGTGTTTGTGTGTGTACATGAGACAAGTCTGGAAAGTGCCTGATCAGGATTTAGTGAGTGAATCTTCCTAGGCACGGGCGCCAATGACCATTGAGGAGGCATTGACAGTAGAATGGGGGCAGCAAGGGCCTCCTAATTCTGAGGTCAGGATAAATATTGCCCTCCCATCTTCTGAAGCAAAACAGGTCATAACAGAATCATAGATCATTTTACAGAAGAAACCGAGACCCAGAGAAGTGAAGGGGCTGGGGATCACTACTGCACTAGGGGCCATCTGGTCCACCCCACTCTTTTTACCAGTGAGGAAACTGAGGCCCGCCATCACCTAGAAAAGAAGTAGCAGAGCCAGCATCAGAACTCCAAGTTCACCATGACTTGACCCAGAAAAATGCAAGCAGGACGAGGCATCTGGAAACACCGTAATGTAAAAACACATCCTCTGTCATCTTGCCATCTTCCCAATAGCACCATGAGGAAACACCAGCCCTTCTTAGTTGCTCAAGTCAGATGGAAATGGCTTTTGGCCCCTTTGGTTCATGCCTCCACCCACGCCGCCCACCCTCTGTAGCGATGCACCCATTAGACAGAAAGGATAGCCACAAAGCCTACTCAACACACACTCTTTAGTACCAGAACATCAGTTAAAACTGTAATTTTCCGTGTATGGGGGTGAGCTTGGGGGAGAAGGACACTCTTTCGGCCATGTGAATGCTCCAGTTTTCAAGAGGCTTTTCATCTTCAGGTCAATGTCTTTTTTTGTGCTTTTCGGGCTGCTGTTTAGACCCTTGACATCTCTCAGGACTTTTGAAGCCATCTCTTTTCCCTTCCTGAAATCTTCCTTGCTTTTGAAACTGGTCAGCGTTTCCCCTTTTACTGTCAAAGCAAAAAAAAAAAAAAGACAAACTCTTACTTCCTCAGAGTGATGTTTTCCCTATGGCTGAGAATGGATGGCCAGAGCACAGAGGCTCTGTCCTCCCTGACAAAATGACTTTTTGGTCTTTCTCCCTGGCTTTCCTGCAACTCCCACCTAGGAATCTCAGGATGGAAACCAGGGCTGGCAGGGTGGCCATATTAGTGGTCTAGAGGGCATTCTCTATCACTAGACTTCCTAATCTGACCTAGTATGGAATCAAAAGTAAGGGAAGACCCAGGAGATGGAGGGGAAAACTGCTAGGGGTGTATCCAAGGTAATCTCCACACAATGGCTACGGTAGTAGCTCTCTCTCACTGTTCAGTCCTGTCTGACTCTACAAGACCCCATGGACCATATCCTTCTAACTTCCCCTAATCTCTCCAAGTCTCTCTAAGTTAGTAGCTCTCTAGTCCTTGGGTGAGGAGCCCATCACCATGGTCCGACTCAGAAACCCTCTTAACCTCTCTACCAAAACTCTTACCTTAGTTTTCAATATTTGAAATCCTCCCCTTCTACCACCACAGCCCCCAAAGCTCAGTGTTCCCATATTTGTATTTCACACTAACCACAGTGAATTACAGGGCCACTGGCCAAAGACAGGTGCCCTTATCCAAACCTGGGAGCCAAAATCAGTAGAGAAGGAATCTGGGATGCCAGCTCTGTGACATTGATTTCATGATGGCATGATGTCTTCAATCCAGTTCAATTCTACAAGT